CTTGATTCCAGGACCCCAGGATCATGACTCAAGCTGAAGGCAGATGCTTAACCTACAACCACCCAGGTGCCCCTATTTGTAGAATTTGTGTATTATTTGTATACCTCAAAGAACAATAAGAGATGAAAGGCAAAAAAAGCAATAGTGGTTCAACTGGCTGGCTCACATTTTCCACCATCATATTTAGTCAAAGCCTTGATGAAATCAAAATATATAGGGAGGGGCACCTGGCTGGCTCAGTCAGAAGAGCATGTTGAGAGCGCATGAAGAGGGCGCCATGAGCCCCATGTTGGGTGTAGAGATTACTTAAATAAATAAACTTTTATTTTTTAATTTTTTAAGATTTTATTTATTTATTAGAGAGAGAGAGCAGAAGAGGGGCAGAGGGAGAGGGGGAGAGAGAGAGAGAGAGAGAGAATCTCCAACAGACTCCATGCTGAGTGCGGAGCCGGATCCCACGACCCTGAGATGAGGACCAGAGCTGAAATCAAGAATCCGACACTCAACTAGCTGAGCCACTCAGGCACCCCAAATAAATAAACTTAAAAAAAAATACATAGGGATTATTACAATTCCCAAATTATAAAACTCATTTACAAAGTAGGAAATAAAAGCAATGTGGGAAAATACATATGATAAGTACTTAAGGACTATATTTAGTTCCTACAAGCACTTGGGTATAAGGTACATTGCATTGCTGAACTGCAAAAGCAACTCACCATGGGTCAGAGCACAGGTACGTAGATTTCAATTCCCATCTAGCAAGTTTCTTTGGTAGCTAGTTTGAGAGAATGTGTCAATCCACTTTGGAAGAGTAAGAAAAGAAGGGTCATAGGGTACCTGGGTGGCTCAGATGGTTAAGCATCTGCCTTCGGCTCAGGTCATGATCCCAGGGTCCTGGCTCAGCGGGAAGCCTGCTTCTCCCTCTCACTCTGTCTCTCCCCCTCTTCATGCGCTCTCTCTCTCTGTATCTCTCTGACTAAAATGAATTAAAAAAAAGAAAGAAAAGAAGGGTTGGAGGGGCAAATCCAGGCATACTCATCCCAGCACTGTACAGAAAAGGTAGAACTTTGCTCTCAACATTATTTGAGTATTTCTATTGACGTGAATGAAACTAACTCTCTTAGCTTGGTGCCATTAGGCAATTAATTCATTAATTTACTCAACTTCCCTTCTTCTGAGACCAAGCATCAAACATCTTTCTGACTCCCAGGCAGGTCTAGCTCCATGATTTTAGAATACTGATGATATTGAAAGCAATAAGTCAGTCCCCGCAACTCTGATTTCTCATAGTAAATCAATGATGTGGATTCTGATCACATTTTGTCTTCTCGAATACCTAGACTATAGAGAGAGAATATGTGAATTATTTTCCATTTGTGTGAGCTACTTTTTTAAAATTGGCATTCTGGGGCGCCTGGGTAGCTCAGTTGGTTAAGCGACTGCCTTCGGCTCAGGTCATGATCTTGGAGTCCCTGGATCGAGTCCCGCATCGGGCTCCCTGCTCTGCAGGGGAGTCTGCTTCTCCCTCCGACCCTCCCCCCTCTCATGTGCTCTCTCTCATTCTCTCTCTCAAATAAATAAATAAAATCTTTTAAAAAATAAATATATAAATAAAAATAAAATTGGCATTCTGGCACTTACTTTAGGCTGTTGTGTTTTAGTTGGCATGGTCAAGAGCACATTTCTCATCCTGGAAAGTAAAAGTCCAGATATAATTGTTTTCCCCAATGACATAGCAAACATGCCACTTCCAGATGGCCCTTACTTTACTTGAACCAAGTACTTTATAATTTACTTTACTTGAACCAACTCTGTCCTTTGTGATCATCAGTTTCTTTTCTAAGAGGTTACATACATTCTATTTAATAATCCAGTTGAAAATTTTCCTAGCAAACTAGAAACTGATTTGAGATCCTAGAATTTGTTTCCCCCCCTTTTTTAATATTTACCTATCTGCAGTATCTGACACCTCTCTTATAATTATGATTTCTCCATGAATACTCAAGGTAGTTCTGCAAACAGCCCCTTCCTACTGTGTCATATGTACAGCTCAAACAGAAAAGAAAAGAAAAAATTGCCAAGGTTAAATTTTCTTAAGTAATTTTCAATTTACCCATTCATTCATCTATCCTCTTAAGAAACATGTACAGATTTCTGGAAAGAGTATGCTATATAGCATTTGAAAGAAATAAAACACAGTGTTCTTGCCTAGGATTGGGGAAGTGGAGGGTGGAAAGAGTGTGTGGTAGATAATATCTATAACAGGAAACAACTAGCAAACTCAAACAAGTTCATTACAATATCACATTTCCAACTTGGACTCCAAGTGCTTAGAGAACCTCTACTCACTTGGTCAATAAAATTTTACTAAGCATAGAGTAATTAACACAAACTAAGGGAGAGATTGGTTAGTGCAAATTGAAGTTATTATAGAAATTTTTGTTTGAACAGCAATCTTCAATTTGGGGTCCTCATACCCCTAGGGGAACATGAATATTTTCCAAGAGGACCCAAGTTCTAGGGTGACCAATTGTCCCAGTTTATCCAGAACTGTCTTGGTTTTAGCACTAAAAGTCTCATGTCCCAGGAAGTCCCTCAGTCCCTAAGGCTGGATCTCAACTTACCTATTTCCTCCTCTCTAAAACTGATGTGCCCGAGATTTTGCCTGGTTTTCCTTTCCCACCACCCACCTTTTCATAAGTGCCCATCTCTCACTTTATACAAGCTGTGACTCCTACTCATTCCTAAATTTATTATGACTTGCCCGGACTCAATAAACCTCCAGGGCACCTAAAAAAAAAAAAAAAAAAAAAAAAAGACAATTAGAAATATATATTTTTAAAGAATTTTATTTATTTGAAAGAGAGAGAGCTCGAGCAGGGGTGGGGGTGGGGGGGAGAGGCAAAGGGAGAAGCAGGCTCCTCGTTGAGCAGGGAGCCCGACGCAGGGCTTGATCCCAGGACCCTGGGATCATGACCTGAGCCAAAGGCAGTTAACAGACTGACCACCCAGGCACCCTGACATTTAGAAATATTGATATGGGCACAGCCTTCTTTAATATAGGCATCATAGCTCCTTGGAAGGGCATCTCATCTTTCAGTCACATATTGTGATGGTTAATTTTACGTGTTAATTTGACTGGGCCATGGGGTGCCCATATATTTAGTTAAACATTATTTTTGCGTGTGTCTGTGAGGGTGTTTCTGGATGAGATTAATGTTTGAACTGGTAAACTGAGTGAAGCAACTTGACTCCCTATTGTGGGTGAGCCTCATCCAGTCATTGAAGGTCTGAATAGAACAACAAAGGCAGAGTAAGGGAGAATTCACTCTTGCTGCCTGGTTATCTTCAAGCTGGGGTATCAGTTTTCTCTTGCCTTTGGACTCAGATTTGGACTGGAACTGACACCATCAGCTCTCCTGGTTCTCAGGCCTTTGGACTTGGGCCGGAACTATGCCATTACCTCTCCTGGTATCTAGCTTGCTGACTGCAGACCTTCGGACTTCTCAGCCTCCATAGATACATGAGCCGATTCCTTATAATAAATCTCTTACCTGTCTATCTAGCTATCTATCGCTATACATAAATATACACAACTGTATGTCAATAAGAATAGATGACTTAAATGAAACAGATACTTTTTTGGAAAGACACCAATAGGATATATCTGTAACTATCATTTATCTATCTAGATATAGATACTAGCCAAAGGAAGAACATGCTTAGATATGTGATAGTTGCGTAACCTGTGAGTAAACTAGAAAACAGTAAATTGCACACTTTAAATGGGTGGAATTTATGGTGTGTGAGTTATACTCACTAAAGCTGTTGAGAAAATAGTTATTAAAACATAGAAGTATATCCCAAGGGCGGAAATGGTATAGAGCATGAGCCACTGCTCAGAAAGCTGTTTTCTTTTTTTTTTTAAAGATTTTATTTATTTATTCATGAGAGACAGAGAGGCAGAGGGAGAAGCAGGCTCCCAAGGAGCAGGAAGCCCGATGCGGGACTCGATCCCAGGACCCTGAGATCATGACCTGAGCCGAAGGCAGACGCTTAACCATCTGAGCCACCCAGGCGCCCAGAAAGCTGTTTTCTTAAACAGGGCTTTGAAGAGAAAGCCCAGCTGAGAGAGGCCTTTGGAGAGAACCCCAGATGTAGGAGGCGGTGGGAACTGTGAAAAATACGGGCAGAGAGGAGGGGGGAGGTTAGGTCCTGACGGGGAAACCAAGTGCCCCCAAAGAATTTTGTCTGCTTTAGTTTTGTTTTGTTTTTTTAAGATTTTATTTATTTATTCGACAGAGAGAGACACAGCGAGAGAGGGAACACAGCAGGGAGGGGCAGAGGGAGAGGGAGAACCGGACTCCCCGCCAAGCAGGGAGCCCGATGCAGGGCTCGGTCCCAGGACCCTGGGATCATGACCTGAGCCGAAGGCAGACGCTTAACGACTGAGCCACCCAAGCACCCTGTCTGCTTTAGTTTTGTCAAGGGCCAGCCTTTGGATGATCTCTGAAGGAAGGTCCTAGAGCCTTGAGGAGAGTGTGTTATGTCAGCACCTGACCTTTGTGACATAGGCAGGAGATGCCAGGCAGAGCTGCCCCCCAGGGAATGGGGCTCATAGCTCCCGAGGGGGGCAGCAACGCCGCCGCTTAGACAAAGTTCAGTCTCCCAGAACTTTTCACCAGCTGGCCCCACGGCTGCTGGTCGTGCTGCTCCCACTGCTGGGCGTGCTGAGGGCCCGGCCAAGGCAGAGGACATCAGCATCAGGGGTGACAAGGAGTCAGGCAAACCGGACGGGCAGGAAACCAGGATGCTTGCAGAATCCCTGACTCAGGTTTAGGGGAGCAAAAATCTGTAACAGAAGACCTCCTCCTGGCTGGAGGACCACCGAGGGCAAGGTTCGGACAGAAATCTGGGTCAGAGTGAGTTTAGGGTGACAGATGCTGGGGACGGAGGGGGTGTGGCCACCATTTTGTGACTGTCCCTCTCTCTCCCAGGTTCCTCACTGCTAAAGTGCCTTGTGAAACACAGCTCACAGCTCAGAGGAACCCTCATTGGTAAGAGCTCACAGCACCAGAACACAATTTCTAGTCCCACCTCAGCGGCCATCCTCAAGCCCCCTCCTCCACCTCCGTTCTACCTGCCCCCCCCCCCCCCGCCATTCTTCTCATCTCTCACCTTCCCTGGAGCATTTTGCCAGCTCTTCTGATCCCAAAGGTGCAAGGATTTAGGGTCTTGGTAAATCAGTCTTCAGAGCCAGAAGTGGACCAATTCTCCCAATATCTCCGATTCTGTTCCTTTCTCTACAGGTCCTTTGGGCTGTGTCTTCCTCCCTAGCTCACCCAGACGATTGATGCTGTCCCTCAGCTCCCAAGAGGCAGCTCTGATTCTCCATCCCTATACATCCCTCATCAATGGCTGACTGCAAAGTGAGAGGCCAAGTTTAGACCCAAGCTCCCACCCAGACACTCAGAGAGCCTAGTGCTACAGGCCTGGGTGGCTCCTTGTCCTGGCATCAACAGCTGCACCAACCCTGGGCTGGAGCCACAGAAGGCCCTGATTTCTCAGCCAGGTCTGGCCTCCGAGATACTGGTCCTGATTCTGCCAGGTCTCTCGTCTCTGGTCTTGAGGCCCCAGTCCCTTCTGAATTCAAGGCAATGTTGCCTCAAAACAAGGACCAGGTGCTGCTACAGAACGCAGCGCCCCCTGGGCGCCCCCCTCTGAGCCCCTCACAACTTGTGGACTCCTCATCCAGCAACCTACAGCCTCTGCCTCCCCAGCGACCACCCCCTCTCTCCCACTCTCCTTGCTCCCCTCCGCCACGGTCCCACTCTCTAGGCTCCCATTTCTACTCTTCTGACTCAAATTCTGACTTTATCCTACACCCTTATTCTTCCTCTCTCCCAAGCTCCCCCAGTTTCTTTCATCAGAATTACTTCTCTCTTTCCCACCCCCCCTCTTCCTCTCCCTCCCACCGGCCATACCCCTCCCCTACTCACACGCATCCCTCCTCTCCCTCTCAGCTACAGAACACCTCTCTCCCCCACTCTCATTGCCAGTCTCCTTCCCCCCCAGGAGACTGCCCTAGCTCCACCGTCACTTCCCCGACCCCCAGCCTACCTTCTGGTGGGGTCCACTCAAACAGGCAGACATGGCCCTGGCATCACTACGGGGACACCGGCTCCCCTGGGGCGGTGGGAGAATGCGTGGCAAGCGAGAGGGACCCTGCAGAGTTCCGGGACCCAGGAGCCCTGGCCCAGGCCCTGGTGGTCCATCTGGGGCACCGGCGCATCGCACACGACCTGCGGTTACTGCTTTTGCAGCGCCTGTGGCTTGGCAGGACTGGCCAGGCCCCCGTTGTAGAATATCCCATATGCCTGCTGTGCCTCAAGCCCCGCAGCCCCTCTTGCCCCATCCCCAGGTACAGGACTGGACCCCGGCTGCTTGCCTTCCCCCAGCTACTGCCCTGTGCCCAGGGCCAGGAATCCGGACCACTCCGCATAGGCATTGGCTTTGGCCTCCGCCTGCCTCGGGGCCAGGCCAGGGCCTTGCATCTTTTGCCAGAAAGAAAGCCAGAGGAAGCAGGGCCTCAGGGCAAGGCTGTTCAGGCCCATGGATATCAAACCCGGGCATCCCAGGCTCCAGCAGCTCAGGCAGCAGTGGCTCAGGCGTGGACCCCTCCAGCCCGCGGCACATCCTCCCAGGCCGCGAGTCTCAGATCTACAGGCCTCCAGTCACCAAACTCTATGTGCTTCTCAGGGCCTCTACCTCAGGCACCCAAACAAGCCACTGTCTCCCTGAAACCCAGGCCTTTCTCTGCGTCCAAGGGGCCTGCCTCTCCAGAGCCCATTCTCCGAGAGTCACCACCCTAGTTCCAGAGCCAAGGAGGCTCTCTGGAGCACCTCCTCCGAGCCCTGCTGCCCCTACCAGGCCCCCGATCTTGGGGAGTCCCCGAGACACCCTGAAGGGCTGGCTGGCAGGAGGTCAGGTGTGTTCTCCAGCCTTGAACCCTGGGAGCCCCTTATGGAGTCTGCTCTCTCCTGGCTGAAGAAGATGAAGGGCACCCTTAGATCCCATTCAGCCTATAGTGTATCAATAAAGCCCGACCCTGCAAAACTTGTGTTAGTGTCTGATGTGGAAATGTTGGGGTTTGGAGTGAACAGTCAAGAAAGAAGTCTTGAGACGCCTTTGGTGCAAAAAGGTGGTTTTATTAAAGCACAGGGACAGGACCTGTGGGCAGAAGGAGCTGCCCTGGAGTTGTGAGGAGTGGCTGATTATATACTTTCAAGTTGGGAGGGGGTTAGGGATAGCGTAAGTCTCTAAGGAATTTTGGAAGCAAGGTTTCCAGGACCTTGAGGGGACTAGCTATTGTTAGGAAAAGGTCATTTATTACTGTCTAATAAAATGTTAGTCATGAGACCCTTCAGATGTTTATCAGTGGGCCATATGCTTGGAGGATGATCGCTAACATATATCTTGGGGTTAGAGATAAAGGAAGTTTTCAAAGGAATTTTTATTTGTTAAAGGAGACTTCCAGGATCCTGCAAGTTGGGATAATGTTAAGCTAAGGTTGCCTTTGCCTCTAGCGAAGTATTAACATTGAGGCAGTGGAGTTTCTAGGGGAAGGTCACCGCCTCGCCTGTCTCAAGGACTTGTCAGTGGGCTGTTAAGTTATAAAGAAATCTAATTTTTTCTTTTGCCTTCATTTCCCACATTGATGGAGGATAGTCGGAAGGCAGGCAGGCAGGGGTAAGCGCCCCCCATCCCCCTCTGTCCTAAGAGGAAACCACCCTTAAAAGGAAAAAGCCCCCATTCTGTTATTCTAGGCTTTACTCAGTGCCCCAGCTTTAAGTCTTCCAACTGGGAGGATTTACAACTTTAGAAAGGAAGGGAATGGCCTTGGGTGTCCTAACCCAGGCCCCGGGGGGAGAGGGGGCAGGTCAACAGCCAGTGGGATATTTAAGCTAAGAGCTTGATCTAGTGGCCTGTGGCTGGCCAGCATGCCTTAAGGCAGTGGCGGCCCCGCCCTCTTGATCCCTGAAGGCTACTATGAAACACCACCCTGGAAGGAGCCCTCCACCCTTTCCCACGTGAACAATTACCTGATAGGTAGATGAGCGTGTGGACAAAAAACCTGATTGGGTGACAGTCCCATGGAGGGTTAATCAGATTAAAACAGCTCCACCAAATCACCCATAAAAACCCCTAGGTTTAACCACCAAATTGGGTCCCCTCCCTCTCAGGAGCTCTGTTAAACTTTGCTGCCCACCACTCGTCGTCTGGTCTACCTCTTCATTCTTTAAAGTGGCATGACCAAGAACTGTGGGCACTAAAGGAAAGGAAAGCTTGCAACAAACATCGGTGTCCTGCTGAGCAGACATAGTGGGTAGCTGAACCTACTGGGGACCACAACTAAACAAGGGGAGGCGGAGGGGGCACCTGGGTGGCTCAGTTGTTGAGCGTCTGCCTTCGGCTCAGGTCATGATCCCAGGGTCCTGGGATGGAGCCCGACATCAGGCTCCCTGCTCAGCGGGAAGCCTGCTTCTTCCTCTCCCACTCCCCCTGCTTGTGTTCCCTCTCTCGCTGTCTCTCTGTGAAATAAACAAAATCTTTAAAAAAAATAAACAAGGGGAGGCGGAGAGTCAAACAGGGTGACCAAGAGAGTAGGTGCCATGTATCTGAGGAGGGCATGGGGTCCATAAGGCCTGAGCACCTGAGATGTGCAGACAGCTCTGCGGGGCCCTTTACATATTTAATTCAATCTGGTGGGACAGACAACAGCATTCCCAAAGATGAAGCCACTGGGCTCCTTCCTCTGAGTGCACCTTAGGTTAACAAGAATGCTCACTTAGGCAGCCGGGGGAGCAGCAAGAGGTGTCTCCTTGAAGGGACCGGCATTCCTAGGGTTCACTTGCAGAGAAACATTAAGAGTCTGATGTTGAAGATCAGAAACCCAAGGGACCCACCTCTTCAGGAAGATGGAAATGCCAGGCAGAAAAGAGACCTGCCCTGCCTGGGAGACAAGTTGCCTCCCTCTGAGGGTGTCAGCAGGGAGCAGCCCCCTCCCAAACCCTTGAATGCTGTTGTGTGCAGAGCCACAAGAATGGCCAACTCTCAAATCTGCCAGCCACAGGGGATAGGTGTTTGGTTGAGGTAAATAGCGGTTTCCTTGAACCAGGAAGTGGTGGGGAGTCTGGGTGGCTCAGTTGGTTGGGCGACTGCCTTCGGCTCAGGTCATGGTCCTGGAGTCCCGGGATCGAGTCCCGCATCGGGCTCCCTGCTCGGCAGGGAGTCTGCTTCCCCCTCTGACCCTCCCCCCCCCCCATGCTCTCTCTCATTCTCTCTCAAAATAAAAAAAAAAAAAAAAAAAAAGCAGGAAGTGGTGGATTGAGGATTTGAAGCCAGTTTTATTTTAAAGTCCACTCTGCCTCCATTAAAAGGCAAAAGACACAGTTCATGTTGAATTTCCAAGGTGTGTGACCTGCAACAAATCACTCCCTCTCTGAGATAAAAGGTAAGGACTGAGCTTGTGTATCACTCCTGAAATGGGGACAGCCGTAACCAAGGATTTTTAAGTCATCTCTACATCCAACCTGGGGCTCAAAGCTCAAATTTATAATCCTGAGATCAAGAGTCACATGCTCTACCAACTGAGCAAGTCAAGAGCCCCCACAGATTTATTAAAGGTTTGCTAGCATCCCTTAACTTTTATTAGCTCCCCTCCTCCTCCGGAATCACCAAGCCGAGCCCCTGGAAGAAGAGCAAGCCCTCCGGCCCCGCACAAACATGGTGGAGGCTGACGTCACAAGGGGGACGGAATCCTGAGGGGGGTGTTGGCTCACCGGCCCGCTAGTGCTGACGCGTATTGGCGGTCCTGCGCCTGCGCAAGGAGAGCAGCGGGCTAGGTGCGCGTGCGCACTGCGCGACAGCCAGACCCAGTTAAGACCGGCAGCGGAAGTCCGGTTCCCTGAGTGTCGTTTTGGCAAATCTGTGGGTTAGAGTTTTGGCACCTCGGAGGGTGTGACAGAATCCTCCTGGGGGCCACGGGACCAAGTTAAATAGCGGCCGGGACGGGCATGTCCCAGGTGCCGCAGTACGTACAGTGAAGCGCGCCGCGAGCAGGATGGGCCGGCGACGGGCGCCAGAGCTGTACCGGGCCCCGTTCCCGTTGTATGCGCTTCAGGTCGACCCCAGTACGGGGCTGCTCATCGCTGCAGGCGGAGGAGGTGCTGCCAAGACGGGCATAAAGAATGGCGTGGTGAGAGCTCAGGGCCACTGGGGCCGGGTCACGCCAGGGGTGATGGTGGTAGGGGATCTTGGGAATGGCCGCATCTCAAGCTTCAGACCTTACCTCTCCCCGGTGGGAAGTCTAGGCTTTTCGGGCGCCCCGGTGCGAATTTCAGCTAAGAACTTACTCACCAGGAACTCCTAAGATAGAGTAAAAATACACAGCGCCGCTTAGGCAGGAACTTAGGCTTCAACTCGAGCTCAAGAGCAGCCCCAGGGGTCTTATCCTGAACTTTTCTGGGGAGGCCGCAAAGACTTGTCCCACTGCTGGAGAGCAGTGGCAGGAGTGCTGCATTTGGCCTTTAGGCTGGGTTTCTTCACTCCTCTGAGGGTCACCCTATTATTTTGTAAACTGGAGGTATTAATCCCAACCCTCCTTGCTGTACAGATTTGTGCGGTTGAAAGAAAGAAACCAAGAGAGGGAAAGAAGCAAGCAGGCTGGAAAAAGCCTTTTAAAGTAGAAAGTGCAGTAATCAAAGGGGTAGGGCTTTAGACTGTAAGATGTAAGTTTGCCCTTGAGGTGCTCTCTGGGCACCCCTGAACCTTGCTCATCCTGGTTCTCTCTTCCACAGCACTTTCTACAGCTAGAGCAGATTAACGGGCGCCTGAGTGCCTCTTTGCTACACTCCCATGACACAGAGACACGGGCTACCATGAACATGGCGCTGGCTGGTAACATCCTTGCCGCAGGGCAGGATGCCCACTGTCAGCTCCTGCGCTTCCAGACCCATCAGCAGAAGGGCAAAACCAAGGCAGAGAAGGCAGGTGAGAAGCTCCCTCTTTCGCTTTGGGGAAAGGGTTAAATGAGTAAGATCACTTATTTTGGTTTCTTAAAGAAATGGGGCAGGAAGAAGCCGGATGTTCACTACTAGGGAGGAGACCAGTACTACTTACTGTAGAAGCCTGGAACCTGGCAGGCTCTTTGTATTGCAGGTTGCAAGGAGCAGGGGCCTCGACAGAGGAAGGGGGCAGCCCCAGTGGAGAAGAAGTCTGGAGCTGAAACCCACCAGGAGAGGATAGAACTCAGTGTAGAGAATTTGCAAGCGGTGCAGACAGACTTCAGCCCTGATCCGTTTCAGAAAGTTGTATGCTTCAACCACGATAACACCCTGCTTGCCACTGGAGGGACGGATGGCTACGTTCGTATCTGGAAGGTATGATTTGGGGGATTAGGGGATCAGTGTCGATAGCAACAAGGCCAGAATTGTGAGAAACCGAACATGGGTTTTGGGAGACTTGTGAGTGAAGCCTGCACTGAGTGGCAGAGACGGGTGGGGATCGTGGCGCCTTGCCAGGTACCTGGGGTAACCATGCTGGTGGTTTGGCTGCAGGTACCCAGCCTAGAGAAAGTTCTGGAGTTCAGAGCCCACGAAGGAGAGATTGAGGACCTGGCTTTGGGGCCTGATGGCAAGGTGAGGAAGTGAGAGGATGGAGAAACTAGATGATGATGCTGCTTGTCCAGTAGGTGGATCCCCTAACTGTCCATCCTTGGAATCTTGATTCCTGACTAGTTGGTAACTGTGGGCTGGGACCTTAAGGCCTCCGTGTGGCAGAAGGATCAGCTGGTGACACAGCTGCAGTGGCAAGAGAATGGACCCACCTTTTCTAACACGCCTTACCGCTACCAGGCCTGCAGGTGTGAGACCCCAGAGGGTAGCTAAAAGAGGCACAGCCTAGATGTGGTGGGGGAGTGGGAAAACACTGGGGGGAAGCTGGGGAGGATTGCAACCTTGGTGGGTATTACCCCAGGCCTGACCAGGGTACAGGAGGGTACAGACCTCTGAGAAGGGCTAGGCAGGCCCCGGGAGCTGAACAGCCTCTCCGCCTGGCCCCCCCAGGTTTGGGCAGGTTCCAGACCAACCTACCAGGCTGCGACTCTTCACAGTGCAGATTCCCCACAAGCGTCTGCGCCAGCCCCCACCCTGCTACCTCACAGCCTGGGATGGCTCCACCTTCCTGCCCCTTCGGACCAAGTCCTGTGGCCATGAAGTCATCTCCTGCCTTAGTGTCAGGTGTGAGACAGTGGTGGCTTGACTGCTCGCAGGGTGCCTGGGGGAGCTCGGGCAGGTGTCTGGTCTGACGCGCTGAAGACCACTGTTAGCGAATTTTGCTGCACAGGCCTCCAGAACAGTGAACACTTCATTGTTTGTTGCAGTGACTCGGGTACCTTCCTAGGCCTGGGCACGGTCACCGGCTCTGTGGCCATCTACATAGCTTTCTCTCTCCAGGTAAGGCGTAGAGGTGGGCGCAGCCCTGAGGGCTCTCGAGGGGGAGAATCTAGACCTGCTTCAATCTAAGTGTGCAGGAAGGAGTCTGGCCCAGCCCATAGAGGGAAGGCCGTCTGGGGACAGGGAGCATGTTTTCCAGAAGGCATGTTTCCAACTAGGCCTTCCCTCACTAGTTCTTCTGTCTCCAGCGCCTCTACTATGTGAAGGAGGCTCATGGCATTGTTGTGACGGATGTGGCCTTTCTACCTGAGAAGGGTCGTGGTCCAGAGCTCCTTGGGTTCCATGAAACTGCCCTGTTCTCTGTGGCTGTGGATAGTCGTTGCCAGCTGCACCTGCTGCCCTCGCGGAGTGAGTCATTGGGGTGGGGGGTACCTACCTCTAGCTATAGCATAAACTTGCCCCTCTGGAGAATGGGCTGCTTATCTGTAGCCATCTGCCCCCTTCTTAAACGGTTCTGTTCTTAGGGCTGTGAATCACTTTGCCTGCTGACTTCTTTCCTTACCCTTGTGCAGGGAGTGTTCCTGTCTGGTTGTTGCTCCTGTTATGTGTCGGGCTTATTGTTATGACCATCGTGCTGCTCCAGGGTGTCTTCCCAGGTTTTCTTTAGCCTTCATGCTCCTGGGGAATCAGGGGTGTGGACACCGCCATCTTCTATACCAGAGTGGAGGCCTGGACCCCGTTGCTTACCCTACCTGGGTCCACAGTTGGGGTTGCTTCTGATGAGACTGATGGGCACTGCCTGCCCCGCCCAGTGAAAGCTTGGCTATGGCCCTGTGTGACTCTGAGTCCTGGGAACCCTTCATTCTTCATGGATCCACCCAGGACAGTGGTACCTGCAACCCAGGCCATGCCACCTGCATCTTTCCCTCTGCCTAACAGAGGCTCCAGAGTTGAGCTTGTCCTCTCTCCAGAAATATGTGAGGATGCCCAAGAACCCGGAGGTACTGCTGTCCATCAGTTGCTCTTCACATGAGCCCCTCGTGTTTGCTGGGGCAGGCTCTGGCCTGGGACTTGCAGTTAGGGAAGAAAGGGGCAAAAGGACGACCCAAGCTGTCGTGTCTGGGTCCAGCTGGTAGCTCCAAGCCAGCTTGGCTACAGACACAGTAAGTTCCTGGATGGCCTACCCTAACCTTGAGGAAAGGGAAAATGAACCTCAGACTGTTCTTCGGGAAAAGTTGATATTTAATAAATAAGCGAAGACTGAATTAAGACCCCGGTGGTACTCCTGTCCGCTCTTGCCTCTCTTGGAAGGAGAGAGACCACTGAGGTTGAGCAGCTCCGCCGAGTGCTGGAAGACGGCTTTGGCATACTGATGCAGGAGGCGGGTCATGTAGCAGTGCTGCCAGGGGAACAGCCCTTGCAGGAAGCCAGTGTGGCCACCCCGGGCTGTGATGAGCCCGTGCCACGTGGGCAGAGCGTTGGGCAGCCTGTAGGGGAAGGGCTTGGGGAGGGTTGGAGAGGAGGTCAGGAACCCGGGCCTTTCCTGAGAGCCCAGGCGCGCTCCACTTGCACCTTGTGGCCCATTTTCCCTGGGGCCTCTAAAGCATCCAGATTCAGGCTGCTCACCATGGATTGGGGAAAAGGGGTCGTCAGCTGCATTGAGGCAGAGCACAGGGGTCTGGATGGCATCTACCTTGGTTCTTGGGCTTGCTGTTTGGTAGTAGGTAA